CCGGGAAGTTCACTGCGGGAGGAAGGAAGGAAGAACGGGGGCGGGGGAATGAGTACAAATGAGAAGGGGCATGAGTACGAACGGATGAGTTTCAGCATCATATGCCACCTCCTGCAGTGGCGGATAGTCCCTCAGCTCTAGGCTCTTCACTGGAAAGTTCACTGGAGGAGGGGGGAAAGGGGGGGTGAATCGGAGGGAGGAAAGGGAGGAGGAGCATGGGAGAACGGGTGCATAAGAATGAGTTTGAGCCATCGTATGGAATCTCCTGCAGTGGCAGGTAGTAATTCAGCTCTAAGGGTGCACGTAAGTTCTTCACCGGGAAATTTACTATGAGGGGGAAATGGAGCAACTAAGTAGATGATTGCATGGGAGCGAATCGAGCTGCAGAAAGAAAGAAAGAAAGAAAGAAGGGAAGGAAACAAAAGCCACCATATACCAAGGGTGCACGTTGCACAAGCTACAAGAAGGACGGGTGGACTCACTCACCAAGAGTGGGGTTCTTCTCTATGAAGAAATTGTTCTTTTTGAATCGCTTCATATGGAGGATGAGGTACCGCGGTAACCGCGTGATCCGATACCGCATGCGGGCAGGATGCGGGCGCACCACTTCCGTCACGGTTTGCCCATCAAATTTCTTCAAAATGTTGAACAGGGGAACCTGGGGAATAATATTCTTCTCCATTACGTCTTTAAAAAGCGGGGGAGGAGGCAAATCTAACCCCAACATCAGAAACGGCATTCGGCTGACCTCCCGTTTCACCCCATCCTCCTCCTTCTCCCCTTCACCCTCCCCTTCCTTTCCCCCCTCCCCCTCCCGTTTCCGTTTCTTCCCATCCTCCATACAACTGCTCTTCCCTGCGACCTCTTTAATCACCTCCAGCTCGCCCTGAAAGCACTCCTGGATTATGGAGCTTATATGATGCGCCTTCTTGCCTGTGGCTTTAGCCGCAGCAGCGGCGCTTTTAGCTAAGTCTGCGTGGAGGGTGTTTAGCAGCCAGGAGAGGAGGTCGAGGGGGTCGGACTGCTGGCCGATGAGAAACCGCTTCTTGCTGGCGAGCATGATGGCTTGGAGGAACTCGTGAGGGCTCACCTGAAAGGTAAGAAGGGGAGAGGGGAAGGTTTTGGGCGGGTACGGCATGGAATTCAGACTGCTGGCCAATGAGGAACCGCTTCTTACTGGCGAGCACAATGGCTTGGAGAAACTCGTGAGGGCTCACCTGAAGGGTATAGAAGGGAGGGGTTTCGGAGAATGAGAAAGGAGCGGAGAGGGAAAGAGAGGAGGGAAGGGAGGGAGAGTGAATGGGAGAGGGAAAGAGAGGAGGGAAGGGAGGGAGAGTGAATGGGAGAGGGAAAGAGAGGAGGGAAGGGAGGGAGAGTGAAGTGGTGGGCATGAGGGGCGTGCATCCCAAAGCACCAACAGCTGGTGAGACATAGTCGCATACTGACCACAAAGCTCCGCAAAGCGACACAAGAGGGCGGTGGGCAAGCGGGAGGCGAGTTAAAGGTCTCTCTGCCGTACCCACCCCTTGATGCTCTTTCCTCGTACCTGCCCCTTGAAGTTGCGCGGGTGCCACACTTTCCGCACGAGCTCTCCGAAGCGGCGCACGAGCGCAGTGGGCTGGGCGGCGGGCGAGTGGGAGGCGGGCGTGTAGTTGGCGGGGAGGAGGAAGAAGTTGCGAAGAGGCGTGACCCGCACGAGCGACTGGATGATCACGTTCACGTACCCCGTGTCCTTTATGTTGTTCAGACCGACCTGGGGGGTGGAAGGGGGAGGGGCAAAGGGCAAAGAGGAGGTGGAAGGGGAGGGTTGAGGGGGAGACACGGGAGGGGCGTGAGGCACATGAGCGACTGAATGATCACACTCACGTACCCCGTGACTTTTATGTTGTTCAGACCGACCTGGCGGGTGGAAGGGGGTGGAAGAGGGTAGAAGAGGGTGGAAGAGGGGAGGGAGGGGTGATGGGGAACGAGTGAAGGGGGAGGGAGAGAAAAATAGAGAGACGAACCGACTCTTCCACACCAATATAGTCAGTGCCACCCCTCACCCCTCACCCATTTCGCCACCCCTCACCCATCTCGCCACCCCTCACCCATCTCGCCGCCCCTCACAACTCACCATGCCGGGGATGTAGTCCGTGCCGTCCAATGCGCGAGCCCACTGCTTGCAGCAGTCGAACTGCGCTATCTGTGCCACCTTGCACCCACCCACCATAGCCCCTGACTGAATCACACTGCACTCACCATGCCGGGGATGTAATCCGTGCCGTCCAACGCGCGAGCCCACTGCTTGCTGCGGTCGAACTGCTCTATCTGGGCGGCAGTGAACCTGGTGACGTCAGCATGATGTCATGATGAGATGCAGAGAGGCGAAAGGGAGAGAGGGAAAATGGGGGAGTGAGCAAGAGGAGGAAGAGGAGAGGGTATGGGATCATGCGAGAGACAATGTGCAACATTGTGCAACCCCCTTCAGTGCGTTGAGCACTCACAGGGGAGCAAGTGCAGCACTCACAGGGGAGCAAGTGCAGCACTCACTGAAACATCAGAGCCAGACTCGCAGAAAGTTCAGGTCCGCACTCACCGCGGGTTGAGCACGCTTTTAATGTCGTCCAGTGACGGGTCGGAGACCTGATAGCCATCGAGCAGGCAGTAGGCCTTCTCGGAGTGCAGGTTGATGAACACGTGGTGCCCCACTTAGGGCGCACCCTCAGCCTCCCCACATGCCCACACGCGTGCCCGCACAGCACAGCAGCACTCACCGCGGGTTGAGCACGCTTTTGATGTCGTCCAGCGACGGATCAGACACCTGATAACCGTCAGGCAGGCAGTAGACCTTCTCGGAGTGCAGGTTGATGAACACGTGGTGGCCCATTCGGGACGAGCCCTCAGCCGCCGGCTCACATGCCCACACGCGTGCCCCCACAGCAGCACTCACAGGGGGTTCATAGCAGCACTCACCGGGGGGTCAGGGGCACTCACCGCGGGTTGAGGACGCTCTTGATGTCATCGAGCGACGGGTCTGAAACCTGATACCCATCGGGCAGGCAGTAGACCTTCTCGGAGTGCAGGTTGATGAACACGTGGTGCCCCGCGTCCACGCTGTGCGTCACCGCGTGCGACGAGCGCGCGCGGCCCTGGAAGTACTTGCCGCACACCAGGCAGCCGTACACGTTGAGGTTCGACAGTGACACTGAGCAGAACTTCTCGAAGTCGAAATCCAGGAGCTGAGGGGGGGGGGGGGGTTGGGGGGGGGGGGAAGGGGGGTGTGGGGAAAGGGGGAATGGACGGGTTGGCGGAATCAAACAGAGACCCTGTGTTTTAGAACGGAGAAGTCAAAATTGCGTTTTTCCTGTGATCCGCAATCGTCGGCCCAGTGTTAAGAGCAGACCTGCCGGTTGACCGTGTCAAGGTACGGACACTCGCGCCGGACCTCCAAATGACCGCGTCTTCCGCTCACGCGAATCTCGTCTCCCTCATCGTCGTCGTCCTCGTTTCTATCCTCCTCGTCATCTGCGTATTGCACAAGCCCTGAGTCTTTCGGATCGGTTTTGTCATCTGCGGATCGTTTTTTAGCTCTTTCCATGTTGTGTGAGAAGAGCGACCTTGCTTCTGAACCAACCGCTGCTGAAACTCCGCCCAAGCTAGCCAAATCTGCCATTGGCAACGGAATCAGTATCATTAACTTGCTGGTGGATTCGAAAAAGCGGCCTGGCTATCATGAGAAGCTCGACTTCGAGGTAGCTTGAAGTTAGGATTAGCAGCGAGCCAAGTTAGGGATGGTATGAACGCAGTAGCTCCTAAATAGGTGATGTAGGTTCCAAAATAATGCGATAAAATCCTCCATATGGCAAGATCGGTACACTGTATTCTATGTTTCACCAGTTGGAGTTGTGGGATACAATTGTCAAAAGTTCCACCATTTGCTCCACCTGAAGGTCCATGTTGCACCAGGAGCGGCGATCACCAGACCTCGTTCCGGGGCCCTGGGCCAGCATGCTATGCTAGCCTCGACAATCTGGTCAGCGTGACCCGTACTTGCGTAGGTGGCAGATACTCACTGGCCGTGAAACTCACGTTTTCAGCGGACAAGGGCAGCTTCACATCGGCCTTTTCAAACCTGACCAACAGCGCCAGAAAACCTGCGGGAGCTCTGCGCTTCGGCCGCTAACCTGCGGCCCTGCGGGACGAAAAGTCACGAGAAGCTGATTGGGCGAGAGGTGTTATCAGCCTGTCACGAAATCATGATAAGGCATTGTCGAATGCTTTCCAGCATCGCCAAAACTTTCTGAAGTTACCCAGGAAAACAGATCCTCAGCTGTGAGTGCTCGAAGTCTGAATGAACGCTCCAGATCTGTTATGCTGTAATCGTAATGGGCTCGCAAGAATCAAGGAACTGTTCTTCTGTCCACTATGCTGCCTCACCAGTTCTCCCTGGTCCCTCCCCTCCTCTCCTCTCCATCAAACCATTCACTCGACACTGTCATTACAAGAACGCCATCCCTGATTATATTCCGTACATCTTAGTTTGTATGCCTGTAAACAGCATGCCTCAGCTCCCGCCAGCTTCTGTCACAGGCATCGGAGCTATCGTCGTCGTACTTGGAAGCTAGAGCAGGGCGCCGAAAGGGCACTCATGTAGTTCTTTGCTAGAGAAAGAGCGGCATCTGCCAAATTCCAAACGATTTCCTCGCAGTAACTACCTCCGCTCCACCGCGTTCCTCAGAGCCATGGTCTCAAAGCCATGGCGAGGCTTGAGACATCTAGCCGTCGTCGTCACGCTCCTGCTCATGATTATCTGTCTTCAAGCGACTGTATCGGAAGGTACTCACCATAGTCCCATCTCAGATTCCTTTCTGCCGACGTCACAAGTTCCTAGGTCAGACTCGTCCAGCGTTCAAGCTCTTTCGGCTTAAGAATACGTTTCCGAATCCATACCCGTGCGAGCCTGTCCTGTTTATCCATCCCATCCGTCACTGAACCTTTGCCGGTGCGTGCGTGCGCAGAGCTGCCGCCGGTGGTGAGCGTGGAGAGCTTCGTGCACGCCGCGGACCACGACGGCGACGGCGAGATCGGGCCCGAGGAGGCCCACCAGGTGCGTGCGTCCCTCGCGTCCCTCGCGTTCTTGATTCGATCCCATTCCCAGTTTCTGGTTGAAGGGTGACGTTTCAGGAAGGCTAATGCGATGAGGAATGTTTAGGGTTACATTCAACATAGCTTGACGTTACTCAAAAGCTAGCCCGGTTCTTTCTTCCGCTTTTTCTGGTGATTTATGATGAATGATGAATGATGGATGGTGGATGACAGCTATGGGCGCGAGTGCTGGAGGAGGAGAAGCGATTCGAGGAGCAGGAAGCGGAGGCATCTGGCGGAGAGCGCGAGCGCGAGGCGGGTGAAAGCGAGACCGGCGGCGGCGAGTCGAGCATGGCGGATCTCATGTCGGACCACCGGCTGGACATGCCCTTCAGCTATGGCGGCAGCAGCATCTCCACCGCCGAAATGAGCGTACGTGGTTGTACATCCGTTTCGAGACGCCTCGAAACGTACTTGAATGACGAGCTATCTTGGGCCTGATCATGGCTGAATGATACCATGGCATGCGTGTCCAAAATTAATAGCACCAGAGTCACCTTGATTCCTTGGGTTCCCTGCGTGCAGGATCATCTGAGTCACATGCTGACAGGGGAGAAGGTGGTTGCGTGGATCGTCCACGGCCTACGGCTGCCCCAGTACGCGGAAGTCTTCAGGGCCAACTCAATCGACGGCCTGGATTTCCCCACGCTTATATCCGATAACGGGACGTTTCTTAAAGAGGACCTCGGGGTGAAAAGCGCGCTGCATCGGCATAAAATCCACACGGCGATTTTCCGCCAGGTGTTCGGCTTAGGGAAGGCTCCTGGTGCTCCCACCAACCTAGAGTGCGAGCCGGCTGGGTGTGGCGCTATTGCTGTTCAGTGGGACCCGCCAGCCAATCCCGGTGTGCCACCTGTCCATAAGTACCTTATCCAGAGACGCGTGGCAACGCGCGTGGCGTCGTGGAAGGACGTGGGGGACACGTCAGAAGATGCGTGGCTAGATTCGGCAGGGTTAAAGCCGGGGATTGAGTACACGTATCGGATACAGGCGTGGGGCGGGCATGGGCCTTCGGAGTGGGTTGTTCTTGATCATTGTAGAGCGTTAGCTACTAGCGCGGATGGGGTTGCTTGCACTATGGGCGTGCATCCGCATCAGCAGCAGCACCACCACCAGCATCATCATCAGCATCAGCAGCACGCTTTGAAGCCTCCAGCTATGGAGCCTCTTGGGAGACCCATAGCAGCAGGAGCAGAGGGGCACAGCCACCCGCATGCATCAGATATAGTAGCCGTTACTGGAGCGGAGAAGCAGCAGGGATCGGGTGGGTCGTGGCAGAAACGGTTGGAGTCGGTTGGGGGCACGGAGTACATTCTGAGCGCTTCAACTGCGCCAGGACCAGGAGTGGCAGCAGAGGAGGCAGTAGGAAGAACGATAGGAGGGGTAGGCGGGCAGCAGGGCAGCAGGCACGGAGTGGCACAGTCTGCAGATCAAAGCGCGAAGGAGGCAGAGCAGGAGGCGGAGAGGCGAGGGGAAGAGAGCCCCTCTTCTCCCCTCTGGAGCTTCATCTGGTCGGTCAACGGCGGGATTCTTGTGCTCGGGATCTTCTCCCGCCATAGCTTCTTCTTCCGCTTCGTCCTCGCTGCTGCCGCTTCCGCGCACCGCCTCCTCCGCCCCCTCGCCTCCGCCCTCTCCCCCTCCCCTGCCAGCCCCTTCCTCCTCGTCCGCGTCGCCGCGCGCGCCCTTCTGGGGCTCCGCGCGGCGGCTGCGCGCGTCTCTGCGCTGCTGCACCGCGTGATCGCTGCGCTGGTATCGCCTGGGGACGATGAGGGCGGGGAGGATTACGAGCTAAGTCCGTTTCCCAGTGGCAGCAGAGCCGCAAGAAGGTGGTCTGACGGGTTGGGGGATCAGGCGGACGGGGGACTAGGAGCGGGTGAGGGAAATGCGTTAGGGGAAGCGGGGGAGGCAGGGGGGCGGGGGTTTAGAGGGGGGTGGGGTGGCGGTGGGGGAGAGAGTTGGGCTGCAGGGGGAGGGATGGGAGGAGGGCAGGGAATGCGGCGTGTGGGGCGGAATAGGTCGTACGATGAGCTTTCCGGGCGGCAGGAAGGTGAGGCGTCGTTTGGCAGTAGCGAAGGGGGTATGCCGCGGAATGGGCTGCTGGCTAGGGGCGGCCATGAGGAGGCAAGGGCGCGGGTGGGTGAGTGGCGGGGGGAGGAGGGAGAGGGAGGCGGGTGGGGGGAGAGCGGGCGGGTTCAGGAGGCGGCATCAGATGAGGACACGGAATCAATGAAGTCTGTTAGCTTCAAGTACAGGTGCAACGCGGAAGGCTGCCGCGTGCGGTTTGATCGCTGGTACACACTAGACGGGCTGAGGCACAGCATTCTGAAGCACTACTGTCGTGAGTGCCAGGGCGTGTACTGTGTGCGTCACACGCGCATCTCCCCCCACTCCTCCCGCACCCAGTGCGGCCTCGACAGCCACTGCCTCTGCTTCTCCTGCTACGCGCGCCTCCCTGCCGAGCTGCAGCTTCGGGCCGAACGTATCAACAAGCTTCGGGTGGGCCCGGTGGCTGGGAGTGGGAGCAGTGGCAGCGCAAGCTTAGGGAATAGCTTCGGAGGCAGCGGAGGAGGCGGAGGGGGGCGGAACGGTGGGGGGAAGAACGGAGAAGGGGTTTTAAATGGCAGTGGAAATAGCAACAGTTTTAGCAGTTCTGGTCATGGCAGTAGTGGTAGCATTCGTGCTGGTGGCAATGGGGATGGAGGGAAGGGGGTGGGAGGGAAGATCTCGCCCTCTAGCAGCTGGATGACTCTTTTAGGGCGCCGGAATAATGACAAGAGCGGTGGGGCGGACAAGGGCGGCAGGGAGAGGCATGTGGGTGGGTCGTTGGCAGAGAGTGCGAGCACGTCGGGCTCGGATGAGTCTCAAGGCGCAGGTGCAGGCGGAGGGGTGGCAGGGGCAGTAGGGGCAGGAGGGGCAGGGAGAACAGCGGAGGCAGGGGAAGCAGTGTCTGGTTCTGTCTTGGCAGCAGCAGCAGAAGCAGCGGGGGAGGAGCAGGATACGGGCATGGTAGAGTTGTCACTGGCAGCAGGTGAGGCAGCACTTACTCTGACCTCTCCCCGTCCTCTTACCCAGACAGGGAGCCTTAAAGAGAGGAGGAGAGGGGTGGGGGGGAGCGCAGGGGGAGGGGTGGTTATGAAGAAATCGCTTTCATTGGCTGCTGGTGGGGGGGTCAATGGGGCTGGTGCTGACAGGACCTTGCAGGAAGATAAGTTTAGGAAGGATATATTGCAGGAGCAGCAGCAAGAACAGCAGATACAGCAGATACAGCAGCAACAGCAGCAACAACAAGAGGTGCAGCAGGAGCAACAGCAGGCCCCAGCGCTGTTCTTTGTGGGCTCTGCAGCAGACCTCCTGCCCGCTGCCTCTCCCACCTCTCCAGACCCTTCCAATGGCAGCAGCAGGGCCACAAGCGAGCCAGACATGGGGGCTCCTAGCAAAAGGCCTGGGGCAGCTTCCGGTGTGGCTGATATATGGAATAGCCTGCAGGAGAGCCAGGATCTAAGATCTGGGACTGGGAGCAACGCGCTACCAAACACACCTGGTGAAGCACTGGCATGCCTGACTGGAAAAGGCCCCTTGCCCCGGTCTGCCGCGTCTGACCCTACAAGCTCTTGCTTGGCGTCTGCTGCTCGTCCCACTTGTAGCTTGGAGGCAATACCCTCTTGCAGTGAGTCGGTAAGAGAAGCAGAAGAATCAAGAGGAAAGGGTGGTGGAGTGGCAGCAGCGGGTGGTAGATGTGTCAAGTTGGAAGCAGCTGGTTCACGAGGGGAGGGAGCAGGGAAGCGAGGCGAGACCAATGGAAACGGTGCTATCGACTGGGGGCGACTAGAGCGCTGCCCCAGCCACCTCTCGCGCTCCCGCTCCTCCCGCTCCGCAGACGAGGTGAAGCGGTCCCCGTCGCCCTTTTCCAAGGTGCTTTCTCCTTATAACGAGTTGCCTTCTGAAGGGGCGCAGATGGGGAGCCGGGGACGGGGAGGTGGGACAGGGGGAGGGAGTAACTGGTTCTGGTGGTACCGGCATGGGGGGCATAGGCATGGCCATGGGCATGGGCACGGTCATAGGGAGGAGCTGAAGGGGTCTATGTCTCCAGCACTTGCCTTTTCGGGGATGTTCACTAGTAAACGGAAGTTAAAAGAAGGTAGTGGGAAGGGCACGTTGGGTTCGGACAAAGGGAGGGGAGAAGCGGAGAGAGGGGGGCAGGAAGAAGAAGGTGAAGTGGGGAATGGAGGGTCGAGAGGTGAGGGAATAGAGAGAAGACATACAGTGGAGGGTGGGGAGGTGATGGGCTGGAGAGTGGTAGAAAGTGATTCGAGAAGAGGCAGGTACTTTGCTTCTTCGCCTGCACAGTTGTTGCCACAGGGTAAACCACCCTCACCGCCATCACCCACACTTCAGTATGCTGGTTACAGCGGCTCCAAGAGTGAAAGAAGTTGGAAGAACCAGGGAAGCAGATCGGAAGGGAAGTTGGGTAAGGCTGGTCCAAGAGAGTGTATTCCGGAGAAAGAGGAGGAGCAGCAGGGTGTGTTGCTTGGTGGAAGAGCGCAAGGGGAGAAGGAGAAAAGTGGCAAACATTCTGAAGGGAGGTTTGCTCTTCCAAGGAAAAAGAGTATTCTTCACAGGTCCTGGGATGTAACTAGCAAGACGGAAAACAAGCAGACATAAGTTAGTTGCTTTATACGATTCCCTCATTTATGATTGAGGTGGATTGCATTGCTGAATGTAATCATAGCTAAATTAATAAATGCGCCATGCATGCAGCTTTAGTTTGTATCAGCAGGACATTTGTTTGGATCAGAAAGACAACCTAATTTCTGTATGTACAGAGCAGTATTAGAAATTCATTTGGCAAATATACTCACACATGGGTAGGTGTAGCGGTGAACCCCTTCACAGAGAAGCTTCTTCGCACCAGGAGTGGATCGATGTACCCCAGATCGCTCCCTCTTCCACCATTGGTCATACCGTGCGCCTCCCTCCGCCAATCACCTCCCGCATCCCCCGCAGTGCTGTCGAGAGGGCGCCAATTACCGCCTCAGTCTCTACGCCTGCGCAGCTTCCGCCCAGCTCCCCCCTTCCCATGCCATCAGCCATGGCAAACTGCATTGCATGTTTGACCTGCCCCTGCAGGCAAGGCAATACAGACGGGCAGATGCAGCTCAGTGTATTCCCAAGGTTTGTTCTAGTTTCCAGCATGACTCCATCATAGTACAGTCTCCACTGTCAGTGTTTCACTTCACTCCCCTCCCTCGTGGCTGCCTGCCTAATCCTTTCCCAATCTCTTATATTGCCGTGATTGCAGCGGTTTAGTCGTACTTCTCACACGCCGTGCGAGTCAAAGCAGCAGCAGGCGAAGTGTGGTGTAGCGCGCGGGTCGAGTCGGTAACATGCTTCGACCTAAGTTTTTCTTTACGGTTTATAAGAGCGTTCGCGCCGTGATAGCAGCCAGTGGGTCGCAAGCTCCTAGGCCGCCGTTAAGCGACTCTCAATCGTCGCAATCCTTATCTAGTTCCTCGCACACACCATCGCTAGAGTCGCCCTCACCTGCGAATTTGTCGCAACCGCCGTCGCAACCACAATCTTCGCCACAACCACAGCCGCAACCGCAATCCTCAAGTGCTCCCGCCGTTCAATCCGGTGTGAGCGAGCCTCCTTACGAGGCGCCTCAAGACCCTTGCGGGTCGTACGCGCTATACAGTGCTCCGAATGCGGGGCCTTCCGCCCCTGGGAACGCCGAGCAGGAATGCACAGCGGCCCTGGGAGCTCCGGTTACAGGGTTACCACAGAACGAGGTTGCGAATAAAACATTGCAGAATCAGCAGATTGTGAAAAACTCGCGGGAGCAGCAACCGCAGCAGACGCAGCAGGCGCTACGAGTGCATCAGACGCAGCAGGAGCAGCAGCGTAGCTTGCTCTTAGCACGGCAGAGAACGCCATTCCCAGCAGCTATGGCGGCCGAAAGCGCAGCTATTGGAGAAGCGCCAGCAGCGGCGCTTGTAGGGCCAACAGCGGCCGCTATTGGCGGCAGTATAAATCCCCATCAGACCTCACACCTTGCCTCCACTCACAATGCCTCCCCTCATCATTCCCCCTCAGCCACCTCTGCCTTCCTTTCGCCCTTTGTGTCCCTCGCCTCCTCTTTTAAGAGGCTCTTCAAACGCCGCTCGTCGCCCGAACCTGCGTTGCAGCCTCAACAGCATGACGTGGCCGGCTTGGTTCCCGAGGCTGCCCAACAGGCTCGGAAGCGGGGTGTGCCCGAGCTGGAAACCGCGCGAACTTCTCAAAATGGAACTAGCAGCAGAATCAGCAGCGCTGCGGGCAATTTTTTCAGTCAGCCGCCCAGACCGCTGCAACTCTCTTCCAGCCTGGCAGATGCGACAGGCACTGCCGGCCGCAGGCCGCATGCGGCGCATGCGGGGGTGGCGGACGGGGGGCTGGCGGAACGTGCGGGAATGCAGCAAATGGCGGAGAGAGTCGCGGAGAGGATAGAGGGGAGGGTGATGAGCAGGGTGGCGGCAAGAGGAGAGGAGAGGGCAAGAGGAGAGGAGAGTGCAGAGTTTGAGTTCCGCATGGAGGATGTGGTGCTCGACAGTGGCATTCGGGACTTGGGACATGAGCGGGGGAAGGGGAGGGGCGGGGCGGAGAGAAGAATGGAGGTGGCGAAGAAGGGGCGAGGGCAGTGGCGAAAGAGTGGGAGCAGCGGCTCTTTAACTAGTTCTAGTCGTGCTAGTGGCGCTGCTGCTGCTGGTGGAGGTGGTGGTTTTGTTTCTACTGCTGGTGCCGGTGGTGCTGGCGTCGGCAATGCAGTTTATCGTGCCCGCACGCTCAACTTTTATGCAGCCCCACCAACGCCTGCTTCAGTTCATGCTTCAGGTGCTGTCTCAGGTGTTGCCTCAGCACCAGGTGTTGCTTCAGGTGCAGCTGGAGCAGCAGTTGCGCCACGATCTCCGCTCCAGCAGGGCTACAGCGGGGAATATGGGCAGCACAAGCAGCAGACGCAACGGGGAATGGCGCAGCAGGGAATGGCGCAGCAGGGAGTGGCGCAGCAGGGAATGGCGCAGCAGGGAATGGCGCAGCAGGGCATGGCGCAGCAGGGAATGGCGCAGCAGGGCATGGCGCGGCAGGGAATGGCGCAGCAGGGCATGGCGCAGCAGGGAATGGCGCAGCAGGGCATGGCGCGGCAGGGCATGGCGCAGCAGGGCATGGCGCAGGCGCAGGGGTCTGGGGGCGTGGGGCATGTGTGGCGGCCGGGAGCACACATTCCAAGAACTGCTGTGCCAGCGCCACTTGTACCAGCGCCACGTGTGCAAACGCCACGTGCACCATCAGCACATGTCCCAGCGCCACCTGTACCAGCACCACTAAAAGCACCAGCACCAATTGCAGCAGCAGCAGCAGCAGCAGCAGCAGCAGCAACATCACCATTGGCAGGAGGAACAGCAGCAGCAGCACCACCGCCACCACCAATTGCTAAGGGCATGGCTGTTACTGCTGGTGCCCCAATCCCACTCCATACCCCTGCTGCTGTCCGTGCAACTGTCCCTGCTGCTCGCGCTGCTGCTGGCGCTGCAGCAGCGAGAGCAGCGGGGCCGAGGGGGAAGAGGGAGGCGAGCAGGGAGAAGGACCGGAACATGGTGGCCTTCCTTCTCAACATGCTCACATCGCTCCAACCTTCCCCGCCCTCTGCGAACCCCCTTTCTCCCTCCGCTCCCCCCATGCCCACTTCTTCTGCCTTCTCCCATCCACTGGTCAGAAACCCCGTGTCCTCCCCTCTCCCTCCTCCTCATCGTCCTCCTCCTTCCCATCCGGCCGTCTCCCCCACTCACCTGGGGGCACAGGACGGGCGGTTGAGCATGGAAGAAATGTTAGCGCGGCTGCAGCAGCAGTGGCAGGCGCATCGAGCAGGCAGCACCGGAACCAGCAAAAATGGCAAGAAAAAGAGCAAAAAGAGGGCCGGAGCAGCAGCAGGGGGGGAGACTAGCAGAAACGGACAAGAGGAGCTGGTAAGCATGCCTACAGGGAACAGCATTCCAGGCAGGAGCCTGGGGAACGTGAGGGCGTTTCACGTGTCTGAGGCACTGAAGAATCTCTGGGATGCTGACGCCGGTCTGGCGTTGTTCCGGTGGGCCAAGGACGTGCAAAAAAAAAGCCGGACGTTTACGTGTACTCCACGCTCTTTGGGCTGCTGGGAAGGGGGAGGGACGCGGCGAATCTGGCAAGGGTGGTGGAGGAGATGAGGGAGGACGGGTGTGAGCACAATGCGGTCACGTTGCAGTCGCTGGCGACGGCGTATGGGCGCGCTGGGAGGTGGGATGAGGCGCTGGCGACGCTGGGAGCGATGCAGGGTGGTGATGGTGGGCAGAGTGTTCTGCATGACCTCACTCTCATTGGGTGAGTGCTTGGTCTGTCGTGTCTGACTCTTGAGATGTTACAAAAGGCGGTCGGGGCGATGCAGGGTGGTGGTGAGAGGAGCGTTACGCATGACCTCACTCTGATTGGGTGAGTGTTTGGTTTGACGTGCCGACTGTGTGCGCGTGCCATTGCTCCTTCTCCCATTTTTGAGTCGACTCAAGAGTTTTGAGTCAACCCCCCTTGTGTCTCCGCTCTCCCCTCAGTCCCCGAGTGGACACGCTCTTCCGAATGAGCCGCTACGTTGACGCCATCAAAGCCTTCACCGAGCTGCGCAGCGCCAGGCACGTGCCCGACTCGTTCGTCTACAACACCGTGTTCACCTGCTATGGCCGCGTGGGGAACTCTTCGGGGGCTGAGGAGGCGTTTAAGGATATGATTCGCCATGGCGTGCCGCTGGATGTGCGGTGCGCCAATAGCCTCATGGATGTGTATGGGCGGACGGGCAGAGTTGATGATGCCATGGCTGTGTTTGACCGCATGTGCCTCGCTGCTGTTGCTGCTAGTGGGGCGAGTCACATGAAAGGAGGTGGAGGAGGAGGATTGGCAAGGGAAAGGGGAGGGAACCGCAGCAATGCTGACTTGCCTGGTGCTGCTGCTGTAGCAGGGATACCCCCGCTGATTCCCCACGTTGCTGCGGACAATGCATCCACGTTACACGGGTCAGCAGCACGAGCCGTATGCACCAGCGCAGCTGCAGAAGCAGTATCCATCACACCAGCACCACTCTCCACCACTTCCACCACTGCCACCACCGGCACCGTCACCAGCATTCCCTTTTCCCGCGCATTTGCATGGCCGGCACCGGATCAGATCACGTACAGCTGTGCCATCCACCTTCTCAGCATGGCCGGGCGGCTGACAGAAGCCGAGGAGACGTTCGAGGCGATGCTGGTGGCGGGCAAGCGTCACGATACCATCACATGGTCCACCATGGTGCAGATGTGGGCCAAGGAGGCGAATCTGGAGCGGGCGGTGATGTGGTTTAAACGTATGGTGGCGGCGGGGTGCCGCCCGGAAACCCCTGCATACAACTCGCTCATGTGGGCGTTTGTGGGACGGGGAATGTTTGACGAGGCTGGGGAGGTGCTGACTGCTCTAAAAAACGGGTGGGACCTGGTGGGGCAAGTAGAGCTGGTAGGGCGAGGGGAGGAGCAAGAGTTGAAGCAAGGCGGATCAGGCAAGTCGGTTTTCGGCTGGCTCAACCCAAGAGGAGAAGGAGAATTAGGCCCGGGAGACGCCAACAAGGGTGTTGCCGGTGCCGTTTCACCGAGTAAACAGGGAAATGCGAAGCTTGAGTTGGCCCCGAACCTCATGACCTACACCATGTTCCTGAGCGAGTGCACGGAATCTGCCGCCCGCAGTGACGTGGCGCGGCTGCTGCGGCTGATGGAAGAGACGGAGCATGCCGCCCACACGGTGTTTCAACTGCTTACGGAGGAGCCTTTTGAATCCACCCACACACTGCTGCCGGCAGGTGCTGAGAGCGACAGTGAGAGTGCTCCTCTGAGTGGTGCTGTGTGTGAAGCTGGGAGTGCTGCTGGGTGTGAAGCTAGTGATGGGGAAACGAGAAGGTGTGAGAGAGAGAGTGAGGGAGGAAGGTGCGAGGAAGTAGGGTGGGATGCTGTCCGTGGAATGATAGAGAGGGGGTTGGTTGAAGTGGAGGTGAGGGGGATGGTGGGGGAGTGGGAGGAGGAGAGGTGGCGGGAGGTAGAGAGGAGGATGAGAGAAAGTGCGTTTAGTCAGTCAAGTGCCGAATCCCAACGTGCCTTTGCTGATGCCTGCATTGCCTTCTTGCATAAATTTGGGCGGCACGAGCGGGCAGCCCGCATGTGGGACCTCTGCCACACGCGGCTAAGGCTGTACCCTTGCAGCATACAGCTGCCCGCAATATCCGGGCAGGGCGGAGAATGTTTTGTGGATCTGCATGGCATGTCAGCGGGGACAGCAGTGACGGTGACCAAGTGGGCGTTGGAGAAGATGCGGCAGGCTGTGGTGGCCTCCGCTGCTGCAGGTGCTGCTTCAGGTGCTTCTGCTGCTTCGTCCTCTGTTGTGTCAACCGTTGCTATTTCATCAACTGCTGCCAATCCAACAGCAAGTGGAGAAACTGCTGAAGGGGCAATACAAGGAGAAGAAGCACTTGTAGAATCCTTATCACCATCAGAATCAGGAGCAGCAGAATCATCGCGTCTGCATGAATCACCACCAGCACATCCCTTGCAGTGGCAGCAGCCGTCCAAGGTAGCGGTGGTGACGGGGTGGGGCAAGCGCAGCCGGGTGCAGGGGGCGTCGCTGGTGAAGGCAGCGGTGGAGGCGCTGCTGCTGAGGGACCTCACAGCGCCCTTCTCCCTCCACCGCTTCCACCCCGGTTCCTACGAGGCCCCCGGTGCTGACCTCGAGCACTGGCTGCTCTCGCCAGGTGTCGAGCAATTATTGGCTCCCCGAGATGAGGGCTGAGAGGAGCTAAAAAACAGTTGACCAATCTGCAAGCTTGCCTCTCCCAGATCCCCCATCGATCACCGTATTGCAGTAAATAATCGGCGTGTCCCGGCCCGGCCTGGTACCGGAGTCTCGAATCAGATCAGAAGGCTCGAGTGCTCCTTGTGAGAGCAAGAGTCCATTCTCAACCGACCTGATGCCACTGTTGTAGCTGGACGGGATGATGGTGGAACATTGGAAAGGGCAATAGGAAAATGCCTTGTTGCCCATGGGGTGTTTGTATTGCGGGGGGGTTTATAAAAGAAAGCCCTTTTGTGTATTGTAGATCTTATGTAGAAAGCTCAGCTTGTGGTTGTAACAGTTGCACGTATCTCGCACGTTTGGTCGCTGATCTTCAGGTGCCTATTTTCGCACTTGCGTTGGCCATAGACAAACCTTCATGGTGGCGGTGTGAGTCCAATCGATGCAGCAGCGGATCAAGGTTCCCGCCGCAGGGCTCGTAGGCTGATAGCATGCTTCGGCCCAGGTTCCTATTCACGGTTCGTAAGAGCGTTCGAGCAGTCTTAGCGGCCAGCGGATCACGCGATCCTGAACCGGCCTTGACCGACGCTTACCCGTCGCAACCGCTATCTATTCCGTCGCACCTGTCGTCGGTTGACCTGCCCTTTCCTGCGAATTCGTCGCCCGCACGGCTTCCGTCGCCGTCGCCGTTGCACTGTGTATCGCAACGACTATCGCAAGCGGCTTGCACCGAGCAACGCGGTGCCGGCGATCCTTGTTTTGAGGCGTCCCAACTCATTGTTCGGCGGCCGTACGCGGTAGAGAGCGCTTCGAATGGAGGACCAGCAGGTGCAAGGGCAGCACCGGGAGTGGCAGCACCGGAGGTGGCGGCAGCAGAGGCAGAGAAGTGTGATGGAGGGGAGACGTCGTGGCAGAGAGGACCTTGGGATAGGGAGGGTTTTAGTGGGGAAGCAGGCAGAGCGCCGGGCGGGAGGGGAAGAGGAAGAGGGAGAGGAGGGAGGGGAGGCAGAGGCGGCATGGGATGGCAAGCATTGGAAAGGGCGTTGAGGGAGAACGAAAAGGATGAGATATTACCGCAGGGACGGGATATATCAGCAGCAGCTGCTGCAGCAAGGGGGGTTGCGGAGAGTAACGGTAGGAGAGAGGCACAGCGGGAGAGGGACAGCACCTTGGTGTCTGTCATTCTCAACATGCTCAGATCCATTCAGCCTCCCCCTCCCACTGCTCCCACTGGTCCCACTGGCGCTCGAGTGATGGCGGTGCAACGGAAGGGCAGAGAGGGAAGAATGGGCGTGGATGAGATGGTAGCGCTGCTGCAGCAGCAATGGCAGAACTGGCTGGCTCGCAGCAGCAGCAGCAGCAACGTCCGTCGCAGACACACGACGAGGAGAAGCAGAATCAGCAAGAGCTGGGACGAGGAGGGTATGGTTATCGGAAATACTCACTGGGACGAGGAGAGCACAGGCAGCGGCAGCAGTCACCGTGCAGGTCCTTTCCAGGCGGTGCAGAAGCCGCAAGGGAGGGGGGTGACGGCGTATCATGTGAGCGAGGTGCTGAAGGCTCTGTGGGACGCTGACGCGGGTCTGGCGTTGTTCCGGTGGGCCAAGGATGTGCAGGGAGTGAAGCCGGACGCGCATGTGTACTCGAGCCTCTTTGGGCTGCTGGGGCGATTGAAGAACGCTGAGGGACTGGAGGGGTTGGAGGAGGAGATGAGGGAGGATGGGTGCGGGGAGAACGTGATCACGCTGCAGGCGTTGGCTGCTGCGTACTCGCGTGCGGGGAGGTATGAGGAGGCGCTAGTGACGCTGGCTGAGATACAGCAGAAGGATGATTCGCTCAGCCCGTTTTCTTTTGGGTACGTTGAGGGCTGGCTGCGCACGTTCCCGGCCTTGCCTTTGCCACCTTGTTGGACAATTTTACGCTTATTCTCCATTGTCCTGCCTTTCAATGGAAGGTGCCACGACTACTTATGGGGCACCTCAGAAACATGCTCCTCCTCTCCCCCTCGCCCTCCTCTCCCTTAACCTCCCTTTTACAGCGTGCGAGTGGATGTGCTATACCGCATGGGGCGCTAACGGGAAGTGTTAAAGACGTTTCACAAGATGCGTGAAGCCGGCTATCCCCCCGACGCGTTCGTCTGCAGCACCGTTCTGACAGTCAAGACTTGAGGCGTCTCAACCGTCCTCTCCCTCTCCTCCCCTCCCGTTCCAATCACAGCGTGCGACTGGATGTGCTATACCGCATGGGGCGCTCAAGACGTTCCACATGATTGTTACGACTGTTGAGGCGCCTCAATAATGCTTCTCTCCCCTCCTGTTGCTCTCACAGCGTGCGTGTGGATGTGCTATACCGCATGGGGCGCTACCGGGACGTGATAAAGACCTTTCACATGATGCGGGAAGCCGGCTATGCCCCGGACGCCTTCGTCTACAGCACCGTGCTCACCTGCTACGGGCGCCTGGGGAACATCATTGGCGCAGAGCTGGCTTTCAGAGAGATGCTCTCTCAGGGGATGCCGCTCAGTGTGTTCTGCGCCAATAGCCTCATGGATGGGTATGGCCGCGCGGGGTGGGTCGATGATGCCATGGCTGTGTTTGACCGCATGTGCCTCGCTGCTGTTGCTGCCAGGGGTAGCGAAGGGAGAGAAGGTGATCAGGAGGGGGTGCCTGGTGCTGCTGGTGCTGGTGCTGGTGCTGGTGCTGGTGCTGGTGCTGGTGCTGGTGCTGGTGCTGTAGCTGCTGTTGCTCCTGATGCATCTGGGAGGGCTTTTTTGAAGGCCACAAATGGCTTGAAAGTTTCTGCTTCTTTTCCTGGAGCGGCAACAGCAGCAGCAGGAGCAAGAGCTACTTGCACCAACGCTGCTGCTGCCGAAGTGGTGATAGCTGCACCAGCGCACCATCTCACCGCCACCTCCACCACCACCACCACCACCACCACCACCTCCCGTCCTTCCCCTTCCTCCATCTGGCCGGGCCCCGACATAAGCACGTACAGCCTGGCCATCCACCTCCTCAGCACAGCAGGCAGGTTATCCGAAGCAGAAGCGACGTTTGAAGCGATGATGGTGGCGGGCATAGAACCAGACATAGTAGCATGGTCCACCATGGTGCAGATGTGGGCCAAGGAGGCGAATCCCGAGAGGGCGGCGATGTGGTTCAGGCGCATGGCGCTGGCGGGGTGCCGGCCGGAAACCCCGGCGTACAACTCACTCATTTGGGCGTTTGTGAGCCGCCGCATGTTTGACGAAGCTGGGGAGGTGCTGAGTGCACTCAAACACGGGTGGGACCTGTTGGGGCCAGGGGAGGGGCAGGACGAGAATCAAATCGGTATTGGTTCAGCTTATAAGAGGCCCGACAGAACTGGTGGGCAAGTGGAAAGAAGTGGGAGTGAAGGGGCTGCAAAGGTGGCGGATAAAAGATGCGATTCCTCGTCTGGCCTTGCCCCCAACCTCATGACATACACCATGCTGCTGAGCGCCTGCACCGTGTCCAACGACCGCAGCGAGGTGATGCAGCTCATGCGCCTCATGCTGGCCACAGAGCATCCCGCCCACTCCATCTTCCAGCTTCTCACAGAGGATTCGTTTGAGTTGACTCCCAAGACGGTCGATTCCTTTGAACTGTCTCCCGAGACGGTGGATTCATCTGAGTTGACTTCCAAGGTGGCGGTTAAGGAGGCTGGGAATGGCGTGGAGGGTGACAGGACGTGGGAAGAAAAGGAAAAGGGAACTGCTGAAACGAGAGGGGGTGAGGGGGCAAGGGAGGAGGGTGGTGATAAGGAAGTGGGGAGGGACGGGGTTGGAGGGGTAACGGTGAGAGGACTGCTGGAGAGGTGTGAGGAGTGGTGGAATGGGGTGGTGGGTGGGGATGTTGGGAGTGGTTTGGAGGGTGAAGGTTTGAGGCTAGCAAGGAAAGTGGAACGCGGTGACACGAGGAGATGGGGAGGGGGAGAAAGTGAGGAGGGTGGTGATAGAGCGGTAGTTAGGTGTGCAATTGCAGGGGTGCTGGAGAGGGGATTGGTGGATTTGGAGGTTAGGGAAGTGTGGAGGGAGTGTGAGGAGGAGCGGTGGAGGGAGATAGAGAGGAGGATGAGGGAAGATTCCTTCAGCAAGGCGGATATGGAGTGCCAGCGTGCCTTTGCTGACTCATCCATCTCCTTCTTGCATAAATTTGGGCGGCACGATAGGGCAGCCCGCATGTGGGACCTGTGTTACACACAGCTGCAGCTGTACCCAAACAGTGTTCGGCTGCCTGCGATTTACGGGCGGCATGGAAGGTGTTCGGTGGATCTGCATGGCATGTCGGCAGGGACAGCGGTGACAGTTACCCGATGGGCGTTGGAGAAGATGCGGCAGGCTGTGGTGGCCTCCACTGCTTCAGGTAATTCTTCAGGTGCTTTTGATTCGTCGCTGGGAGCATCGAAGTCGACAGTCGCAGGAGAAACTGATTTCATGGTGGGGGATTCAGAAGAGAAATCAGAGGATGATGAAGAGGAAGTCACATCAAGTAGTGTGGAGGCAGCAGGAGCATCCACGGGCGAATTACAGCTGCAGTGGCGGCGGCCGGGGAAGGTGGAGGTGGTGACGGGGTGGGGCAAGCGCAGCCGGGTGCAGGGGGCGTCGCTGGTGAAGGCAGCGGTGGAGTCACTGCTGCTGAGGGACCTCACAGCGCCCTTCTCCCTCCACCGCTTCCACCCCGGCTCCTACGAGGTCCCCGGTGCTGACCTCGAGCAATGGCTCCTCACGCCAGGTGTCGAGCAGTTATTGGCTCCCCGAGACCACGACTGACACTGATGGTAACATTCTAGATGTAGTTTGCTAGGTGAGCTGCTGCAGTATGGAATCGTAAGGATACTTGGCAGCTTGAACCAATTCAACACAACTCCCTCAATCACTCGTCAGCGCCGTATTACCAATGAAAACGAGTTTACCTGCTTGGTCGTTTTTCTCCCCCAACCAACTTGCTAGTGGCTAGAGCAGATTATCCTTGAAAAAGGTTGGATTGGATGTGACAATCAGAACATTGGCTTGGCGCCCAAGAGGAGTTTATACTCACATATAATTAGATGTAATTAGGAGTTTTTGTAACTCTTACTGGTTCGCCCACTGACCATCCTTCCCTTCAGACTGATTTGCCACTTCCTCAATTGCGCCTACCGTACCTTGTCCAGCAGTCGACGAGGGCTGTTATCCGATGCAGCAGGCAATGAATTTCCAGCAGATTTGGTAACATGCTTCGGCCTAGGTTCGTATTCACGATTCGCAAGAGCGCTCAAGCCGTCTTAGCGGCCAGCGGGTCGAGCGCGCCTAAACCGGCCTTACTACGTTACCCAACACAACCACTATTTATCCCCTCGCACCTGTCCTCGCTTGAATTGCCGTCGCAGCCGTCACACTTTCTGTCGCAACGGCACGCTGCTTCCACCGATCCTAGTTTTGAGACGTCTCGACACGCGTACGCAGTAGACCGTGCCACCGATGGTTTTCCTTGCGCATCAACAGCAGCAACAGTACCGGCAGCAGCACCGCCATCAGCTGATGCTACTCCTGCCAGCGACCACTCCAGACGCTTTACGCGGAGGGCAGAGAGACGGAGGCATCTGGCAGCATCAGACGCAGCTGCTGCTGAACCGGTGACGCCAGCAGCAGCGCTGCTGGAAACCGCTCATCCTTTACTGGCAGCAGCAGCAGCAGCAGCGTCCGAAGCAGGAGAGACGATGCGAGCAGCGGGAGTAGCGGGAGACGCAAAATGGCAGAGGGAGCCTTGGTCTGAGGTGGGTTGGGATGGGAGGGCGAACGGGGCAACAAGAGGGGGAAGGGGCGCGAATAGGGGAGGGGACGGGATGAAGGAGGAGGAGGGAGAGCAGAGGGGGAGAGAGAAGCAGCAGGTGCTACAGCAGCGAAGGCAGCAGAGAGGAGAAAATTCATAGCAGCCGAGAAAGCATGGTGGCCTTGCTTCGCAACATGCTTACTTCCCTCCAAACTTCCCGGCCATCTGCGACTCCTCCTGCTGCTTCCAGTTCTGCTGCTTCCCCTAGTGCCGCGTCCCCTGCTACCTCTTTCCCTCCTGCTGTTTCCCTCGTGCAAGTCAAAGCTGAAACTCAAAAGAGGGTGAGAAGCAGGCCAACAGCCATGGCTGAAATGGTGGCGCTGCTGCAGCAGCAGTGGACGAACCAGCAAGCATGCAGTGGCGTCAACGCTGATAGCAGAGGCACGATGAGCAAGAGCAAGAGCCAGGACCAAGTAGAATGTTCAGTGAGCAGGAACGGGGAAGAGGAGTTTAGAGACAGGCGCTACAACAACAGCCTGCATAACGCACCCTTCCTGTCGGGCCACAACTCAGTGGGTCAGGTGACAGCCTACCACGTGACAGAGGTTCTTCGAACCTTATCGGATGCTGATGCGGGGCTGGCGTTGTTCCGGTGGGCCAAAGACGTGCAGGGAGTGAAGCCGGACACATATGTGTACTCGAGCCTCTTTGGGCTGCTGGGCCGGGCGAGGGAAGCGGCGAATCTGAAGGGTCTATTGGAGGAGATGGGGGAGGACGGGTGCGAGCACAATGCCTTCATTCTGAAGGCTCTCGCTGCTGCTTATGCCCGTGCAGGGAGGTTTGAACAGGCCCTCGCCACTCTGGCTGAGATGAAACATCGGGGGTTTCAAGACGACGTTGTCACAATTGGGTGTGTGCGTGTGTGTGTGTGTGTATGTGTGTGTGCGTGCGTACGTACGTGCGTGCGTGCGTGCGTGTGTGTGGTTGTGTGTGTGTGTGTATGTGTGCGTGCGTGTGTGTGGTTGTGTGTGTGTGTGTGCGCGCGCGCCACATGCGTGTGTGCATCTGTATGTGTATGCACAAGTACATTTGTGTGTGTGCGCGAGTACGTTTGTAGCAGCGTGTGCTCTCCATCACATGTGCAATCCATCCCGCTGTTGTTTTGCCAAAGTTGCATTTACCCCTCCACCACCCCTCCCAACTGGCACACATAGCACTCCCTCCAGGACTCAAGTGAGCGTGCTGTATTGCATGAGTCGGTACCGCGACGTTGTCGAAACCTTCAAAGAGGCACGGGATGCAGGGCACACACTGAACAGCATTATCTAAAACACCGCAATCGCATGCTATGGCCGCCTTAACAACACTTACAGGGCCGAGACGACATTCAAAGAGATGATTTCTCGCAGGATGCTGCCTGATGTGCGCTGTGCCAACAGCCTCATGCACATGTATGGTGCAGCTGGCAGGATTGACGATGCCATGGCGGTTTTTGACCGCATGTGCCTCGCTGCTGTTGCTGCTGGTGCAGGTCAAGGGAGAGAAGGAGGAGGAGAATTAGAACAAGGTAATGGGGGAAGGTTAAGTATAAGGAGAAGGGAGTAGTGGGGTGCTGGAACACCTTGTTGAGATGTCTCTGAATGACACTGATCTGTTGTCTGCTCCTGCTGCTCCTGCTGTTGGCTGTTGCCTGCAGCAGAGGTGACCCCTCTCAAGCCCCAAATCGCCTCAGAAGCAGCAGCAGCAGCAGCAAGAGGTGCACACAACGGCGCTGCAGCTTCAGCATCAATCCCAGTGCCACCAGCACCGCCAGCATCTCTCACCATCTCCACCACCACCACCCCAAGCCCCCCCTGTCTCCATCTGGCCAGCTCCCGACCTGATCTCTTACACTTTGGCAGTGAGCCTCCTCAGCGAGGCAGGGCGGCTGTCTGAAGCAGAGGCCACGTTTGAGGCGATGCTGGTGGCGGGGATGCAGCCGGACGCTGTTGCATGGGCCACCATGGTGCTCGTGTGGGCCAGAGAGAGCAACTCTGAACGCGCTGCCATGTGGTTCGAGCGCATGGTGGTCGTGGGATGCTGGCCCAATGCGTCAGCTTACAACGCGCTGCTGCTTGCGTTTGTGAGCGCGGGGATGTTTGACGAAGCAGAGGAGGTGCTTTCTGCATTCAAGTATGGGTGGGACCTGGTGGGGCAGGTGAGGGTGCTAGGAAAAGACCATTCTGGTTCAGACGAATGCACGCTCGCCCAACCCACACTCCCAGCATTACCCTGGGTCAGTGGTGACAGTAACAGCCTCTGGTCAGGTCAAACACTAAACCGGACGGGAGGCAAGGCGCCCAATTGGCTGGCTAGTGAACCTCCCAACCTGATGACGTACGTGATGTTGCTCAATGTGTGCATGGTTTCTACAGCTGGCAACGCTGTGGGTAGGTTGATGCGGCTGTTGGAAGCCACAGAGCATCCCGCCCACACCGTGCTCCAGCTGCTCATGGAAAGCCTTGAGCCATCTCGTGCATTGTCCCACCTGTTTGTGGAGGAGTGCGGGAGTGAGGGAGGGAGTGAGTATAGTAGCTGGGGATCGGCCAAAGGGGATGATGTTGCGAAGGTGATGGCGGCAGGTTTATTAGAGGTGGAGTTGAGGGAAGTGGAGATCAATGAGCCGCCTGATGCATTGTTCCACCTGTTTGTGAAGGAGGCCCGGAGTGAGGGAGGGAGTGAAGGAGGAAGTAAGGGAGGGTGTGAGGAGAGTAGCTGTGGGAAGGACAAGAGGGATGGTATTGTGAGGGTAATAGGAGGTTTATTGGAGGTGGAGGTGAGGCAAGTGGTGAGGGAGTGGGAGGAGGAGAGGTGGCACGAGATAGAGGGGAGGATGAGAGGGAATGCTAATGCCAAGACTGATGCCAGTTGCCAGTGGGCGTTTGCAGAGGCATCCATTGCCTTTTTGCATAAATTTGGCCGGCATGAGCAAGCAGTCCGCATGTGGGACCTCTGCCAAACGTGACTGCAGCTGTTCCCTAACATTGTTCGGCTTCCTGCTATTTACGGGCGGGAGGGTGAATGTGTGTTGGACCTACATGGTGTGTCAGCAGGCACGGCAGTGACAGTGACCCGATGGGCTTTGGAGAAGATGCGCCAGGCTGTGGTGGCCTCTGTTGCTGGTGCTTCAGGTGCTGTTATTTCATCGCCGGGAGTAGCAAGGGGAGCAGTAGCAAGGGGAGCTGATTCCATGCTAGCAGCAGCGGATTTAGCGGAAAAAATAGCGAATGATGAAGAGGGTGCTGCATCAGGTAATCTGCAACCAACAGAAGCATCTTCGGGCGAACCATGACTGACATGGCGGCATCCGGGGAAGGTAGAGGTGGTGACGGGGTGGGGCAAGCGCAGCCGGGTGCAGGGGGCGTCGCTGGTGAAGGCAGCGGTGGAGGCGCTGCTGCTGAGGGACCTCACAGCGCCCTTCTCCCTCCACCGCTTCCACCCCGGCTCCTACGAGGCCTCTGGTGCTAACCTCGAGCATTGGCTGCTCACGCCAGGTGTCCATCAGTTATTGGCTCCCAAAAATAAGGTGTACGCGGAGCTCAGATTCCTCAGCCAATACAAGCAGGAAAGATGTACCCGCAGTTGGTGGGTTGTTGGATAGGCTGTTGCTTGCATCATGGGTTGAGAAGGTACGATTGTTGAATTGAAGTATCGTGATTGAGGGTCCTGCAGACAATTGGTCCCCATTGTCAGTGGAACCACCTCCAAAAAAAGGGCACTCTACAATCCCAACATATTTACCACAGTTTTCTGCAGCAGATTATTTAGTGGAACGGAACCTGTCATTATGAATCCCTATTTGTGGGTCCATTGTCAAAGAAAGTCCTGTCCATCTCCTGGCGATTGTACATGATGCCAACTTGGTACACACTGCAGTGCAGAAGAAAGAGGGGTTTGCTGTGGCTAACCGAATGATCATCAGCACAACACCACCAGAATTTGCAACTGTTATAACCAACCTACGGCACAGTGAGCTACGCCATGATGCGCTTGGAGCGCACAAAGAGGCTGTCAACGACCTGGTTCATGTGCACTATGGTGTCTATGGCTGCTGGGTACAGTGCGTCCGGCACCTGTGGCTGGAACACAACCAGGTTGCCTGCTCCCTGATCCAACGTGCCCTCAAACTTGCGGTCCAGGATCATCTGGGACAGCTTCGACTCCACCTAAGAGACAGATGGGAAGCGGTGACGGAGAGGGTGGAGAGAGCAGGAGAAGAGGGGATAAGGGTTTGAAAGGAGAGGTTGGAAGGCATGCATTGCCATGGAGCACGGACGACATGGATTTGAATCACTTCGATGGGAACGAACAAACATAAGGACAGATGGAATATTCTTGCACATCAGCAGCCATCACTCTCCACCCAGCAGACGCTCTGTACTTGTGATACCAAGTGATGGGATGACCCACTTATAAGTACCAATCCCTAAAAGAGAATCACATCACAAAATCAAAGTTCAGCAAGAGACAAGAACCACACATCAGCTGCATCAAACTCTGATTCTCTCAAACACTCTTCAACATATCTGGTCCCAGATGCATACCTTTTGCAATGGCAGGCCAATAAGGGAAGAAATGTGAGCGATCTCCACGCATGAATACGGCTCAATCAGCCTCAGCAGATTTTGCTCCAGCAGGGAGTCGTAAAGTGCTGCCAGGTGGCGGCTGATGATTGGGTCGTCAGAGAGCTGGTGCTTATAGGTGCGCAAAGCCTCCTCAAAGGACTTGAGCGACCGCTGACTGTGAGCCGTTGCAACTGTCTTCATAGCGTCCACCTCGTCACCCGTGTACTTGAGAGCTGCCTTGCTGCCAATGATGCTTGCAACGTCATCAGCTTGATTCAGCATGATCTGTAAGAAAGGCATAAAGGTGAAAAGAATCAGTAATGGAAGAGATATGAACAACTGACAAAAAGACTGCTTTCAATGTTGCAGTAGCGAACTGCATCATGCTGAAAAGAGCGCTGTTGATAATGCTAAGATAAAAAAAAAAAAGCAGTCAGGCACAGACTCGGATGCAGAATCATCACCTTGCAGAGCAGCATGTACTTCAGGCAGGGAACGGTCTTGGGGTCATCCAGTCCGTTGAAGCACTCGAAGGCTTCAAAGAAGTACGAGTACGCCGTCTTGTAGTCCTTCTCCTCTGCGTGCAGCACGCCTGACTGCATGTCAATCTGACCCTGCTGCGCCGGCGGAACGTAGATCGAGTTCGCCGCGGTTCGCGCCGCAGTTAACGCCGCCTTAGCCTTGGGAATGTTCCGAAGTTGATGGTGGAGTCGGCTCTCGAGAAGATCTATGTCGACCAATAGGAGCTTGTCGTCGAGCCGCCTTACCTCCCTGACAAGATTGCTAGTTAACGCCAGCGCGGTCTGGTAGTCCTTAGTCTCCATATACAGCGCGCCGAGTCTCGCTTCGACTCGCTGCCGAAGGAAGGTTCGCTTCTCCTTCTTGGTCCACTCGACCATTTCCTTGCACAACGCGAGCTGCACATCCGTGCTGTTAGGTATCTTCGCTACTAGATCAATCACAGTACGGACAAGCTTAGCGGTCTTCGCTTTAGGAATAAGAGTGAAATAAGGACGTAAGTCGGTCAGAAGATCACGAAGCTCCTCCGCCTTTCCTTGCTTGGAAAGAATCTCGCCGAGGCTGCACACGGCGGTCTCCTTCGTGCGAAGAGCATCTGCTGACGTGGCATCGTCCTGGATTATCCCGCGATAGATCGCAGCAGCGGCCGAGGGATCTGTGGATGCGAGCTCAGAAGCCCGCTCGAGGGATTCAGGCGTGGCGGGATACGACGACGATGATGCAGCCGGCGGAGTCTCCGTGATCATGGCGTCTGCCATGGCGTCGATCAGTCGACCTTGCTACCGCAATCCCTGACTGAACGAAACGAGAATACGCTTCAACTTATCGATTTCGCTCTCGCAAAAATTCCTTACGGCTTTATCCGAGGAATCTGTAACCCTCGATTCTCGGAGTCGGTTCAGGCAAGTACAATACGGGACGGGACTGCCTGATCTGACAAGGGATTCAGGCAGACAAGGAATTAGTGAAATGGATTTGCTTTTGGGAATGAGCTGCAGATGATAACCATTTGTCAGAAGTGGGTGCACTTTTTACGAACGCTAACGAATATTGGTGCAACAAATAAAGTTTTCGCTCCGGATGGTAATGCAGCATCGCGAGACTTCGCATAAGCCAATCAGGTTAGGGAGACACCAAGCATCGTGCGTGAATCCCAAGGCCGCTTCCGGAAAATGCTGGCCATCACATTTTTCAAAATGATCATCCATAGCCCCTCCTTTTCCCAGCCCATCATCCCATCGTTATTACAACGGGTGAAAGTGTGTCGTCACTGTCATCCTTCATGAAGCAGCAGCCGAGTTATTTAGCGCTGGGCTTCCCGTGGTTTCGTTCCCCCCGGCTATCGTTTATGAGCCTATTTTGAATTCCGACAATTCGAATTCACCTTCAGGGAGTTGTAAACACATCAGGATAAGTCGACAAGCAAGTCGTCCCAGCTTCTATTGTAGTTTTAATAACTAGATTCCGTAGGGTTTTTTAGAAGGTCATTCTAATGACGAGTTCGACGGACTTCCGTTTTTTCCTCTCGTGCGACATCAACTTACCAATACGCTTTAAAGTCGAGAGTCTTCTAGGCAACATCGACGCGAGTGCCAGCTCAGCCGGAGGTATGCAGCCTCTGCGAACCCACCACTTGTTACGAAGGCCTTGTCTTGTATAATCATGCGCCTTTCCTCCCTCTGCTGCTAAATTTCTTCCTTGACTTAACCTTCAACTTAACTTTTCATGTCATGAGTGCAGACGCTACCTCTTGCGCGCGCGAGCACAGCTCCTCCACAGAAGCGCATGGCGGAAGGCAGCCAAGTGCAGACAATTCATGCCTCAGTGACCCGGGTTGTCACGAGGCGCGCGCTCTTTGCGTGGAGTGCGAGCTATTCATTGATGGAGTGTCGTTTGGCCAACCCGTCGTCACAGGGTAATGGCTGGTAACCAGTGTGAGAAACTAACCGGTTTGTTTGAAGCAGGGTCGGAGCAGATTTCAGATGCAGCTGTCCCTTCCAGAGCGTGTCGACTTGTTTTTTTCTCCACGTGCTCGTCTGATGTCTTCAGTGGAATTATTGCTCGTTTTTTATGCTGTTTGGGTTGGCAGGAATGCAACATGGAGTGAGGCCGATGGTGGAAAATGGCGATGGGACGAATGGGTCCTACTGACAGCCAAGTACTGTGACCTGTCTGCGTATTCCTTCATTGCTTTTACAGTAAGATTCTTCTTCCAAGCTTACCTTTCTCTGCTGTTACTTCTGACATTTCTTCCGTCATAGTACTTCTGAGGTAGTTGCCTCTTCTCCTTGGCCCTGCTTCATCTTCACTTCAAACCCTCCGAATTCCTTCCTCTTGTCTGACCTTTTTACAGATTTGGGACTTGAAGTGTCAAAACAGGCCACGTGTGGTTGGTGGCACCACACTCCCTCTCTTCTCCCACACCATGTCAGCCCACCCTCCCCCTTCACCCCCCTCCACCTCACCAAGATCATCATCACCGCTTTCAACCCACACACCTCTTCCGAGCGTCCCAGACGACCTCTCTTCCTATCCTGGCGCCTACTTCGGTGCTGATTTTGGCTCACTACCAGGCCTTGCCCCAGGCTCGGGCGTTGGCCTGGCAGCAGGCGCGCAAATGCAGCATATGCTGAAGATGGGGCGGTTTAAATCACGAGTATGGCTGGGGAAGAAGGCGGATGGGGGGGTTCCGTGCAGAACACCAGGGAAGGTAAAGAGCTAGCAATCTCCACAAGCATTTGGGTTGACTGAAATTGCACCCTGTTGCTATCCGCAATGTCTCTTCAATATTTCTCCCCATTTTGTGCTGAGCGTTAGCCGTCCCATCTCAATTATCTGTAGTCTGTCCCTCCAGGTCCCCAAGGAGGAGCAAGGGGAGACC